TTACTAATAATTTTAAAAAATTTTTATAATAAAGTTTATAAAGTATGTTTTTAAGAATATATTCTATAATAAATATAGACCCTATATTATTAATAAATTATTATATAGATTTTTTATTTGATGCATATGCACCATGGTGCACCTATTATTATATTACATGAATTCATATGATATATTTGTACTTATATGCTCTATACAAGATATATATGTATATGATGTAACTCAAACAAATAAGTATTTGCATACTACAAATATATATATATACGTATATACAAGCATTACAGACATTATACAAGTAGTCAATATTATTCAAATTGCAATGATTACAAGAAATATAATACTTTCAATCTTGAAGTACTAACAGAAAATTAATCTATAATATAGTTGATTAACTCCAACTTACTCATCTATCTTTTAATTAAATATAATTCCTCTTCGTTATAGTGAACTTTCAATATAAAAAGATTCATTGTGAAGAACTTGGAATTGCAAAATTATTAATGAAATAAAGAAGTACATATAATACTCTTTCGAAGAAAGCTATAACGAAGATTTTTTTTCAGCTCTAATAAATTCACAATAATAAAAGTAAGTTGTATTGTTAACCTATAACCAGACTCCAAACTACATAAAAATGCCAATAAAAATTCTTACAACTAATCTAAAGTTAATAGCCAAGCAAATTTTGTAAAACTAAAATGCTTACCTGAATATCTAATTCCAAATCGCATAAAAATAAAATTTTATTTATGACTTCACATTATATATCAAGTTCTAATAGCCATGTAGTATCCAACAAGATCGTATTTAAGACATTATATATAAAATATATGCAAATGCAAAAAAGCATATATTCCTATAAACCATCCTGAATCTAGCCTCAGAAAAAATAGTTAAAAGAAACACAAGATCATATAAAAATATATACATTTCTATAAACTATTCTAATTCTAACCTCTAATCTAAAAAAAAAACTCTAACTCTAAAGTTTCAGAAGGAAATGCTCAAGAAATTAAATATTAAAAATCATTAATATGTTAAATTACATTGTTATTTAACACATAAAATTATATAACATGATTAAAAGAAAATCCAATTTTTCTAATATTCATAACAATAACTAAGCATAATTATTAAACAGAATTTTCATCTTTGCAGGTTTTATAATTAATGAAACTTATATATACATTGTATTTTACTATTGAGCTATGTTTTGTGTAGACAAATTGAAATATTATGACCCAGATTTTTGCAGAATCTACAAATATATTGTCCACGCTTTCTTGTACTTTCTGATATTAAATTTGTGACAGTTTTAGCATGGTGACCTGCTTTTTATGGCCTTCTTTTTACTACAGCTTTATGAGGATTCATAAATAAAAGATCAATATTCTCTTTATCTTCTATGCCATTTTCAATAACAGTTTGATGTTGAATTTCTTGCGCACTAATTAGTTTATTTTCTTTAGCATGAATCTTATTTAAATAATCTTCTATTAAATGAATAAATTCTTCATCATGATACAACATGCATTTGTCAATAGCAGCACGAGTAAGACCCCAAATTTTTCTATAAAAAAATAAATTTTTAGTAAATTTCTCATCGCCTGAATTATCTATCTCATTATTGCTAAATGGGTGCAACCATTCAAATCGATCCTTATTGCACTCTGAAAATACTATATTATTAAATTATTGACCAAGATGTTTGCCTTCTTTTGCTGCATCATATCGAAGATTTTTTTGAAATCCAACGCATTGCAATTAATTGCAAACTAAACTGCACCTTATTAGTAACATTCATTAGATGATAGAAATACTAGCAGACAAGATCCTGCCTTTGTTGTAACAGACAAATACAGCAGTAAGAACCATTTATAAAAAGGAATACAAAGTAGTTTATTTTAAGACTCATGATTCTTAAAACTTTCCATACTTTCTCAATCTCATTCTGATCCAAATATGTTGTTATAAGATATCTAGCGTACAAAATAATTGAATCAGGCTCATCATTGATATCCTTATTTATTAGAGGTTTACTATCATTAATTAATTTAATATCATCTATTGTAGAACAAACAGTGACATAATACACACTTTCTTTCATTTGTTCTATTATAAAGCGTGAAATATTAGGTCTTAAATATCGTTGAACTAAGGATTCGATGGAAGAAAAGATGGTAGTAATGTTCGTTGTAGTAGGTATTCTACGTTTCTATTCTTCAAACTGTTTTCTTTTTTACTCTTTATAACTTCACTCTATTAAGATCTTACCAAGATCACAAAGTGATGTATTTCTATTTTCAATTACTTTCTTGATATACGCATTCTGACTTTTAACAAAAGAAGTTGATTGGATACCAAAAGTAAACATCATTGTAGTAAACGCACACGCCCATGATGACTATCATTTGTAAAGTTGATGTTCAAGATACAACTTTGTCATAGAAAAATTTGTAATTAACAAATTCCAGTAGTACTCAAAAACAGGTAGTGAGCTAGCATTACAACACCTCCAGAACATATTATAAAATTTAGTAAAAGAACTTTCTAGCTTACTACACAACATTTTTTTAATATTTTCTTTAACGTGCCAGATACATAAAAGGTGCTGTGTCTCTGTATATTTAGCAATTATAGCACGTTCCATCGCCAGGTCACTATTTGTTACAATTACACGAGATATTTTATTATGTGTTGCTTTTTTAGTCATTTGGAGGATCCATTAGTAAGTTTCAGTTGTCTCATTGCTAACAATAGCTTGAACGACAATACGTGACTACATATTATCATCCTGAGCTACGAAAAGAGAGAGAGGCATATTATATCTATTTGTACCTGAAGTATTGTTATGTCCAATTGCCTCACCAAACTCACACCAAAGAAAAATCTGTTCCGGACTCATCCAAAACAAATTAATTAATGCATTAGATTCTTCCTCCCATATTGCTTTGATGAACCAATGAAGATCTTCATACTTCTTTGATTGTAATTGTTCATATAAATATATAGCATTTCTTTTCATTGCATTAGGTGATGGTCAGTACCTCTGAATTTCTGAATAAAGATCTTTAAGAAATATCAGATACAATGAAAACTTTTCTTTTAATATTCGTTGTACCATAGTTGTGCCAGAATGATATTTTAAAACAAGAAATTTTATTTCCTCACGCATTTCGTCTGTGAATTTTTTTTTTCTCAAACTGTAATGCTTCTGGTGATAAGTCATGATTGTGTTTATTTTCGAATGTTGTGACAATAATATAAAAGTTGGGGTTGTTTTTTAATGGACATGACAAGTTAATATGCCACTGACACATAATTTGTGCAAAGAAATCGGGTTTTCCAGGATTTTCAGTTCATACGAACCTGAATGCTTACAAATAATTGTGTGCTTGCGTATGATTTTTTCATTTTTTTGATTATTTGTCTTTGTTAAATATTTAAGACATACTTTGAACCCATTATATTCAGAAAACTGATACACAACAGACTCAGCCTCCTCAAAACTGCTAAAAGTATCTTCTTTTTGCAATGTCACAGGTTTTACATTGCTGCACAAGCTATTATCAAAATTTTCACAAGTCTGAAAAGACTCTTCAAAGTATGCTGGTATATTAATATCAAGCTCTAATTCGTCAGGTTCTTGCTCCTCTTCGAAAGAATCTATTTTGCTATATAAAGTTGTTTTAAACAGATGTAAGTTACCAAATTATATTAATAACTGCACGGAACTATATATTTACTCTCTTATGTTTCACTTATAGTGTTCTCTTATTCTTTTTGTTTTTGATGTGTTTGATTTTTCTTTATCAATTGGTATTCACTCTCATAAAAAAATTGTGGTATTTATTTCCAAATGAAAGAAATTCGATTATTTGTAGAAAAAGTTTGATGATTGGCACTTCCTCTCATAAAAAAAAATCGTAGTATTTTTTAAGCAATCATTTGCAGAAAGAAGTTTGATTATTTGTTCTAAAATCTCGTTATTTATATACTACCCCGCATACGTTATGCATTATGATTACTGCGCATATCAGTATTATTTGAAATTACTTAATCATGTGTATAGGGTACACCGTAGTACATAGTGTGTCAAATTAATATTTTCTTATTATATTCTATTTAAAAAATACTAAATATACTTTAATTTTCCAGGCAAATTTGCTAGGATTACAGTTTAAAGAATAAGTTTCTTTATATTTACTACTTTTTTACTATTTTAATTTGTACTATAGTTGTATTATTCTTTTAGCTAAGATCTCAAAACTATCTCAAGATTGTTGATACTATTTTGCTATCTGCAAAATTTACTTATGCAATCTTTTGTAGTAGAACCCTTTGTGATATTATTATCATATATAGTATTCTTCTTCTTCTTTATAATAAATCTTTTTTCAAAAATTTCTAAACCAAATTTATGCTTTATTTAGACTTTTATAGAGTTTTGTATTTGAATATTTCTAAAAACTACTTCTAGTAAACTCAAACTAAAAATTATAACTATAGAAAATAGATATTTAGACAACTAAACTATCTTTTAAACTATCAAGTTTAGTATTCAAATTTGTATGCTAAAATTTTTGAACAAAAATTTAATTTTAAAAAAAAATTTTTAATAAAATTTCTAATTTAATAAATTATAATAATAGATATTCTATAGAATAGGTGGGCAATATAAGAAATAAGCTTCACTGATGATTAGTAATTACTAATTTTTTAATAGCAGAGTTGCAGAGTTTGCGGAGTTTGCTTACCTATTCTATAGAATATCCATAATAACTTCCAAAGATTTAAGTTATATGATACACTCTATAGTTATAGCATGGATTACTTTATATGATCTGAACAAAAATACAAATTCACATAATAGCTAAAAAGTACACCATTTTATCTATATTTTTAAGCCATCAATCTCTTTAATATTATATTACAAAATTGATTATATAAAATTGATCATGAAAAATTCTTGATTAACTTTAATGTTATATTATAAAAAATATCTATGTGTAACAATTGTAAAGAATTTTTATAAATATTATATATAGATTTCTTTTTTAGTATTAAATTTGGACATCAAAGTTCTATTACAACCAACATTAAAAAAACCAATTTTTAGACTACTATTGAAGAAATTTTGTGAAATAGAAATTATGTAATAATCAACTTGTGATATACTTTTAATTTAACTTAGAAAATAGAGAGGAAGGCTTAACAAAATTTAGAGAACTTTACAATGCTTTATTTATATTAAATAAAGAATACAAGTACAATTGCCTAAGTAAAAAAAAAAAAATTTAAATTTGCCAAAAATAATATCAGAATAATTTTTTTAAAAAATTTTTATTAACTATTTACTATATAAATTATAATTTACAAATAGAAAATCATAAATTTGTATAGCAAACAGTTAATAAAATTTTAAAGAAATTAATATTACTGCAAATTTCATTTATTATAAAGCGCACCTATAGTGGTTTTGCATCTATTATATGTTTTTACAGTATTAAGTTTTTATAAATTTTTTTATACGTACGTACGTACAAAATTTTTAACACAAATTTTTTTGGGGCATAGAACATTTTAAGGCACCTCACACCGATTAATTAGCCAGTTTTTGAGATAATATATACATAG